TCTTTCCCTTATAGCCCCTGCACTGTGCTATTGGCCACCTGCTTTCACCCCCTTTTAGCCACCTGCTTTCACCCCCTTTTAGCCACCTCCCACATACTGTCACCCCCTTTCAGTCCCCTACCACTTGTCACTGCCCTCCCAACCACCTTTAACCTAATTTAGTTATTACTTTCCCTTAAACCGTGACACCATCGTCATCTCCCTAATCCTTAGTTGGGTCATGTTGTGTCTTGTTATTTCATAGTTTCAAGTGACTCTGATTGTAATTTGTTATTTCCTGGTTTCAAGTACCTCTAATTGTAACCTCAATTTTCTTTTGATTACTAATATTTTCTCTTTTTAGTGGGGTTTGGGTTAACTCTGGTATTATTTGGTATCTGAGATAGTCTATCCCTAGTTTTATCCAAGGGTTTCTAGCATTCGCCATACACAAACTTATATCCATCCCTAAAATTTTCTTTCCCCACCCTGCACACCTTCCACACACCTGCCCCCAAACCATAACAATGCCAACAAGAAGGAAATTACCAGAGTTAAACTAGGATATTACCATGGGTGACACCCAAAGTACACTATTCCAACTGTTATAAAGGCTAGAGGTCATTGAGGAAAGAACCATAAGCAAAGACACTGATAATAATAGTGAACTATGAGTAGTAGAACCAGAAGAACAGTTGAAACCCATTTCGTAGGGATGACTTTAATGAAGAGGGGAGTTGAACAGGTTGTTTTAGAAATCATTATTAGAGGAGACCGAGGGACGTAGTGCCTGCTGGAGGGCATTGAGATCTAAGAGCTAAGGTGGACCTACTTGACTTTGATGAGAGGGTGAATCCAGATGATTTCCTCAAGTTGATATAATCGACCGAGCATATCTTTTTGTATAATGATGTGTTCAATGGTAGAAGAGTGAAGCTTGCCACCATTAAGATAGCGATAAATGTTTCCTTGTGATGGGAGAATTTGAAGAGTGAGAGACAGAGGCAAGGATGAGACAATTTTTTTTTTGGCGACAATGTAAAAGGTAATGAAGCGATAGTACCTAACCTCACACTATTGCCATTATATTCTCATGAAACTCCACTACTTGCAGCAGAATGAGCTATAACTATAAGAATAGACAACAATATTTATGTAGCTCAAGTTTTAATATGAACGAAATAAGACAAAGGAGTACTCCTAGCCAGGTAATTGGGAAGTGTGAAGCTTGCCATCAGTAATGTGGTTCAACTGCAAAATTAATGGACATTGTGGGACATCCAGACCTTAGTACCGGAGGTGGAGAGATAGTAAAAATAACAGAGGTATCTGCCTCCTTTCAAAGAACACCACCCCCCCTCTCCCGCCATAGTTGGAGGTTCCAACAAAAGCACGCTTGGAGTAATAGGAAAGTCAGAGCAAGGAAATGACAAAGCTGATCAGAGTGGGTAAGAGCCAATGAAGAGCAATACACTTGGTACAGTCCTAGCTCGAAAATACTTCAGATGTCATGGATATGAGTGTATTGCCTCCACTTGCCTGATGAGCAGAGTGGTGTCATTCATGGAGTAAGGCGCCATAGAGGAAGTGACTAATGAAGAAGCAGTTGAGGATCAGGTTGAGCAATACTAGCTCTTGGGAGATGAAGTGGAAATGTTAGTTGTGTACGAAGAATTTTGCAGATGGAACCGTTGAGGGGATCATTCGTGGTTGATGCACAGTATCTTTTGCACTAGATGTATGGTGAGAAGGAAAGTTTGTGACCTCATTATTGAAGGAGGAATCTGTAAGAATGTGGTATATGCTTTCATGATGAAGAAATTTGATCAGGCTACACAGGAAACACTCCAAGCTCTATCCTCAGACATGGTTGAAGATAGAAAATGAGATTTGAGTAGATCAACTGTATATGGTAGAGTTTTTCATTGGAGACTAACTACAAAAGTAAGACCTTCAACGTGGCAGACTTGAATCCTTACTGCAAGGATCTAGAAGTTTTGACGAATGATGTAGAAGCTCCCCCAACCCTTGGAGACTAATACAGGCATGAGTATAGAAAGAGCCACGGGAATTCCTACTCCTTCCTTCATCTGAAGTGAATCAGTCCAGACCTAGAAGAGCTAATTGGCTCTTCTAACATGGATTGGCCCCACCTTTCCATGGGTGGATCCAATCTAAGTTATCTGGTGCTTATATGTGTGTTTCATTTGTCTTATGTTTTTAGTTTTTCTCTTAGATTTTTGTCAGAATAATTGTCGACATCTCATTTTCCTTCATGAGATTGTATATTTATTTGAGAAGATTCTTCGACTATAAATCTTTTCAAGGAGGTGATGCTTTATCATTGTTTGAATCCTCATAGCTTCTCTTGTAGTCGTCGTTACAACTGTTATGATCAATCAAAAATAGTGTTCATGTTATTTTCTGCACCCAGCCATCTCTCTTTTGCTGCCAGCCCTACTAACCACCCACATCTTGTTATCGTTTGTCCAGTCACCTACCTACATGATGCCACCCCATTTTAAGCCACATCTAACTTCTCTTCGCCCCTCACAGCAACCACTAATTGGCTGCCTTTCCCTTGTTGCTGCCCCCTTCTAGCATCTCCACTTGCTGACAACCCCCTTTCTAGCCACCTCCCATCTATTGTCGCCCCCTTGCCGTCATATACAACCTGTTGTCACCCTTCCAACTACCTCTGATCTACTTTAGTTATTATTTCACTTTTAACCACTACATCGTCGTCATCACCCTCGGCCTTTGTTGAGTTATGTTGTGTCTTGGTTATTTCTAGTTTCAAATGTCTTTCATTGTAACTGTTGACTTTACTTTTATGAGAACCCCAAATTGAAACCCATAGACAAGACATGTCTTGAGCCACCTACATTAGCTCAGGATTCGCAGACACCTTGTTAATGACTCAATGATCACCATGATCATTAAATTTATCGTAGGAGGTCTACCAACATTGACCCCTTTGAACCCATCTAGGGTCTCCAAAACCCTAAAAATGAGATTGACCCCTAATTTACCCTCTTTGGGCTCAGACCATGTTGACATCCCAAAGTGATCAGATCAATAATGACAAACCCTGATTTGGTTAATCCTTGACCCAATGATCACCACAATGACCATTTGGTCAACCCTAGACCTAATGGTCACTATATTGACCATTTGGTCAACCCTATACCCAATGGTCACCAAATTTAGCATTTTGGTCAACCTTGAATCCAGTGAACACCCCATGGACCTTGTGGTCAACCCTGACACCAAATTGATCAAAATGGACCA